CCTCCACCAGACACGCCCACCTCCCCCAGGTTCCCTGGCCCTAAGCTCCACCCCTCCACCTCCACCAAAGACTTTCCCATGTTGGTCAGGGGTCTCCCATCGCTGGAGTGTCTGGAAGCGGTGTGCAGCCAGCTGGCAGAGGTGGTCTTCAGATGGGGGATGTGGGAGGGGTCCAACTCCCATAGGCACTAGGGAGGCCTGCTGGTGCCATCTGGTGGCCATTCCACGATGGTGTCGCGGGTCGGTTGGGCGCTTGGCGCCTGGCTTGAGTCCTCTTCCATCATTTGCGAAGGCAGGGAGGACACTGGGAATGATCTTCATGAGCAGATTCAGAGCACTGCCCCCTTTCCAGCATATCGCAGGCTGTTCTGGGAGGGTGGGCAGATGGGGACCCTGGGCCTCTGACTGTCCCCCTTTCTGTCTTTCTCAGAAATGCCTCTACAGCTGCTGCCGATGGACCTGAAAGGCGAGCCCGGCCCTCCTGGGAAGCCTGGACCTCGGGGACCCCCAGGTCCTCCCGGCTTCCCTGGAAAACCAGGCACGGGGAAGCCAGGGCTCCACGGGCAGCCTGGCCCTGCAGGCCCCCCAGGCTTCTCGAGGATGGGCAAAGCTGGTCCCCCCGGGCTCCCAGGGAAGGTTGGGCCACCAGGACAGCCAGGGCTCCGGGGGGAGACAGGAATACGAGGGGACCAGGGCCTCCGGGGGCCTCCAGGACCCCCTGGCCTCCCTGGCCCCTCAGGCATTGCTGTCCCTGGCAAACCAGGTCCCCAGGGGGTGCCAGGACCCCCAGGGTTCCGAGGGGAACCAGGGCCTCAGGGGGAGCTTGGGCCCCCCGGCAGTCGAGGCCTCAAGGGGGATAATGGAGTGGGCCAGCCCGGGCTGCCTGGGCCACCGGGGCAGGGGGGTGCCCCTGGGCCTCCCGGCCTCCCAGGTCCAGCTGGCTTGGGCAAACCTGGTCTGGATGGGCCTCCTGGGGTCCCTGGAGACAAGGGTGAGTTTGGGCCTCCTGGGGTGCCAGGCCCCAGGGGGGAGCCGGGGTCTGTGGGCCCCAAAGGGCTCCCTGGGGTGGATGGTATAGGGGTCCCGGGGGCAGCAGGCGTGCCGGGGCTCCAGGGCCCTTCAGGGGCCAAAGGGGAGCCGGGGAGCCAGGGTCCTCCTGGTCTGATAGGCCCAACTGGCTATGGGATGCCTGGACTGCCAGGCCCCAAGGGGGACAGGGGCCCAGCTGGGGCCCCAGGACTCCTGGGGGACAGGGGCGAGCCAGGTGAGGATGGAGAGCAAGGGGAACAGGGCCCACAGGGCCTCGGGGGCCCCCCTGGGCTTCCTGGGTCTGCTGGACTCCCTGGTAGACGTGGGCCCCTTGGACCTAAGGGGGAGGCAGGGCCTGCAGGACCCCCCGGAACACCTGGCATTCGGGGTGATCAAGGACCCAATGGCCTGGCTGGAAAGCCTGGCATTCCAGGAGAGAGGGGCCTTCCTGGGGCTCATGGACCTCCTGGACCAACAGGGCCCAAGGGTGAGCCTGGTTTTGCTGGCCGCCCAGGGGGACCAGGGGTAGCGGGAGCCCTAGGGCAGAAGGGTGACTTGGGATTCCCTGGGCAGCCTGGCTTGAGGGGTCCCTCAGGAATCCCAGGTCTCCAGGGCCCAACAGGCCCGATCGGGCCCCAGGGCCTGCCAGGCCTTAAGGGTGAGCCAGGCCTGCCAGGGGCCCCTGGAGAAGGGAAGGTGGGGGAACCTGGCTTGGCTGGGCCCACTGGGCCCCCTGGGGTGCCAGGCTCCCCTGGACTTACAGGTCCTCCGGGACCTCCAGGGCCTCCGGGCCCTCCTGGCGCCCCTGGGGCCTTTGATGAGACTGGCATCGCAGGCTTGCACCTGCCCAATGGAGGTGTGGAGGGTGCTGTGCTGGGCAAGGGGGGCAAGCCGCAGTTTGGGCTGGGCGAGTTGTCAGGCCAGGCCACGCCTGCTTTCACCGCAGTGCTGACCTCGCCTTTTCCGGCCTCGGGCATGCCTGTGAGGTTTGACCGGACCCTCTACAACGGCCACAGCGGTTATAACCCAGCGACCGGGATCTTCACCTGCCCCGTGGGCGGTGTCTACTACTTTGCTTACCACGTGCACGTCAAGGGCACCAGCGTGTGGGTGGCCCTGTACAAGAACAATGTGCCCGCTACCTACACCTACGACGAGTACAAGAAGGGCTACCTGGACCAGGCGTCGGGCGGGGCCGTGCTCCAGCTGAGGCCCAATGACCAGGTGTGGGTGCAGATGCCCTCGGACCAGGCCAATGGCCTCTACTCCACGCAGTACATCCACTCCTCTTTCTCCGGGTTCCTGCTCTGCCCCACATAACCCGAGGGGGTCAGGGGGCCTGCACCCCGGCTACCACCGCCACCTTAGTGCTAGAGACATTTGCAGTTACAAAGAACCTCCATTTAAAGAAAAAAATCCCCAGGTGGGTCCGAGGTGGCCATGGCCATGGCCACAGGAGACTGATGGTGCAGGCTGAGCTGCTGCTCGAATTCCCCTCCCTGCCTCTCTCCCGATTCCTGCTGGCTACTCCAGAGGCTGGGTCCTGGGACACTCAGCTCGGCTATAGGAGACCCCAACCTGGGTGTGGAGCTGCTCCCGAGCCACCGGGGGAGGGACTGTGCTCTATCCACTGGAGACGCATGCTGCCCAAGCCTGCCCTTCTGGCTGGCTAGGGCTCCTCCAGCCCTCGGCAGCAACCTTCCTAAGGAAGCAAAGGCAAGGGGGAGAAAGGGACCCAAGATGGCCAGTGTGCACCCTGCTGAGGGCAACCCCAGTGATTGCGCTGTCCTTCTGGCCCGTCTGTGGTGGGTACAGCCCCTGGGAAGGGGCAGCCCCTTTCCCAACTCCAGTTGCAGTCTCGGGCTATCTGTGAGGGTCAGACCCGGGGCAGGAAGCAGCTTTCACTTAACTGTGTCTCCTGTGCTGTCCCCACCAGCATCGGGCAGCCATGCGGCAAAGCTCCAACAGGGGCATGTTCAGCACAGGAGTGCCCTGGCAGGAGTGCCCCTCCCTTCTCCCTTGCACTTGCTGTGTGGAGACTGGCATTGGTGACAATGCTCTCACATCCTGAGGGATCCTCACTGACCCAAGACAGAGCGCACCTGGTTTGGCCGTGGGGGTGCACGCAAGCGTGGAGATGAAGGCATGTGACTCCTGCTTGCTTGCCTTACTAGGAAACACGTGGTGGGTCTGTGTGGGCTGGAGCGGCTAACCCACGGGGCTGCCTCTAGTTCCAATGTCTTGTTCTAAGCAGGATTAGGGCCCAGGAGGCTATGGCTTTGAGAGAAAAGGTGCCAATAGGTCCCTTTGGAGCGAGTTGGCTCTGGATGCTTCTGCCATCTCCCCAAACATGCCTCCCCCTGTGGGAGGCACCACCCTCTCCCACTGGATCTGTGCTGGGGGTGGGGGATGAGGGGCATTTTTGCCCATACAAGGCTGGTGGGGTTCTTAGTGGTTCAAGGCCCTACACCCAGCCCGACCAGCCAATTCACTTTCCCCATACGTGTGAACCTGGGTTATTGAGTGCATGATGTTGAACTGCTGCGATGCTGGCCAACTCCAAGTTGTCCCCATTGAAAAGAGGGTGACCACTGACTTACCACACTGTGGTGTCTCCCTCAGGCCCTTGCCCTCCTACCACCTCCAAACCCAGTGGGTTAGTGGACTGCTCACCCCCACTTTCAAAAGGAAACACCCAGGCCTGCCCACCTGACACTTCAGGAAAGGTCTTGGCTGGGATGTTGAGCAGGCTTTATGCCCGAACACCCAGGCAAATGGGCTAGAAAAGCCTCACATGGTGGTACTGGGGAGGGTCTTGGGCTCACCCTCCTGCTTCCTGCCTTTAAAACTGACCAGAATCTAACTGGTTGGAGTTTCTGATTGGCTGGCACTAGCCAGTTGCCTGGGAGATGCCGGGGGTGGGGTGTGTGGAGGTGTCAAGGAGGACACAGGCTGTCACAGAGCTCAGCTGCTTCCTGGGGACTTTGTAGAGGGGTGCGTGTGTCTCCCAAAACATTGAGGGAATTTTGGTTGTGGGTGCCATCTGGCTGACGGGCTTTGGTAACCAGGCCAGGCTGTAACTATGAAGACGGAATCATCTTGTGCGTTCTCACTCCCAGTCCTGTAGGATCCAGGTTGAAATGTTTAACACGAGTAATTCCACTTTGAGCCTGGTTTAGGGAGTCGTGACACTGCAGCTTTGGGGAAAATGCACTTGGGAATCCAAGAAAATGAAACTTCTTTTAAAAAGCAAAATAACACCAACTGTACTGGCTGTTCGGGCACAACCGCAATAAAGTCTGTTGTATGAAGCAGCACTGTGTGGCGGGGGAGCTTGAGCCTCTGGGAACGGGTGCCCTGGGAGTTCTCGAGGCTGCCAGTGCCCTCAGGAGCTGGCATCCCCCCCCAGCCCCAGCTTCTGCCCATCAGACCTGCTCGGGGCACCCTAGCTGCAGAGGCTCTGCACCAAGTAAATGCTGACCGGTGTTTTAGGAAGCCAAGGGCAGGCGGAGATGGGAGCTGTGGGAGACTGAGCTTCCTTGAACATTCCTGCAAGTTCTCTGGGTACTGGAGCATGACAGTCGACTCAGGACCCCAAAGGCCAAATCTCAATGTCTGATACAAATTATGAAAGAAACCACGAATCTTTGCTCCTGAGGGCTGGGGGCGCTGCCCCGGACATAACTCGCCTCAGCTTGCAGCTCTGGCTCTGGCGATCTGGGACTGCAGGCTGTGGTGTGCCCAGCCTGGCTTCAGGGGAGGGCCCCTTCTTTCAGTCTTATTCCCCAACATGGATGCCAGGCCTAGTTTCCTCTGGGGCCTGGCCTGTAATCGGCAATGCCTGAGCTCTGGAAGGAAGCACACAGCATTCATTCCGTCTACCTGAGCCACTCAGAGGACAGGCCCTCTCCACCCAAAAGATGGGGGCAGTAGAGGCCCCCGGGGTCCTGTGTGGGGAGCAGGATCTGAGAGGAGGAAAACCTGGCCCGTTCGGGTCATCTGCCAGGGCCACTGAGGGCTCTCCAACGAAAACCCCACCGCATTCCGCCTGCTGGACCCTTCCTAGCTGAACGCCGCCGCCACCAGCTGAAAGAATTCCTGGAGGAATTGGCCTCGACCAGCTTAGATTCCTAGCTCCTGGGTAGCAGCTGGCCAAAGCCCTGCTGTTTGGGGAGGAAGGTGGGCAGTGGTGGGCTTCACCAAGACGGTTTATTGCTGGCCCCTCCCCCTGGAAGCTCCTGGTAAACCCACAGTCACAGGCAGGACGTCTCCGGGCGGCGATTGGCTCCAGTCCTGGAGTCACGCCCTGTGCTGCCTCAAAGGCCTGTCTCCTCGGAGGGCTTCCCGGCAACCTGGCTCTACCTCACTGGAGAGCCACGATGCTGCGGCAGTGAGCACTTCACCCCCCACCCCCCCCATCCCAGATCCTAACGTAAAACGCCAGGAACCCCCACCCCCACCCCAAGTAAAACCGGCCTGGCTCCCCACGGCCTCTGGCTGAGGCACTGGGGAGAGCTGGGGGCTCCGCAACAAACCAGGAGGCAGCCCCAGCGAGGCACGGTCCCTCCCTTCCTGCTCCCGGGAGCTCACCCAGAGACCCCAGCCCCCAGGGGGCCCCAGCGGAGGAACCCCAGGGTTTCCGAAGTGGAAGTGAGTTGTAGCTGGTTCCGCCGGCCAAGGCAGGGCCGACCAGCTGTGGCTCTTCAGGGCGTCTTCTGGAAGATGCGATGCAGACTCTGGGCCAAGACGTCTGTCTCCTCATAGCCCTCACAGCTCTGCTGCCAGCTCTCGGACACTTGCTCCATCCCGTAATAGGCGCCGGCAATGGCACCGGCCATGGTGGCAATGGTGTCTGTGTCCCCACCCAGGGAGATGGAATAGATGAGTGTCCTTTGGAGGCTGTTGAAGGCGGAGGGGATCTCAGGGTCGGGCTCCATGCAGCGCAGGAAGCAGTAGATGGCGGTGGGCACCGACTCGAAGGCAGCAATGCCATTCCCTGTGGGAAGCCAGATTGTGGGGGCTGTGACCCACACCCAGGGCCCCTGACCCTGACCAGCCAAGACGCTCCGCTTCAGGCTGGGCTGTGGTGGCAGCCATAGGCTCTTAAGACGCGTTGGGTTCAGATCCTAGCTCTACCTCCCAGGCTGTGTCAGGGACAGTTACGTAACCACAGAGACACCTCGGGGTATGAGAACTCTTCCTGGGCTGCTGTGCAGGTTAAACGAACTCAGATACAGGGGGCTTCAAAATGTTTGCGGAAAAAACCCATGATCGCTTACTTCTATTTTCCTACGAGCGTTTTGAAGCCCCTTTGTATGTGGAACATGTTGCACAGTGCCCAGCCCAGTGCTGACGTCACCAAGAGGCCACACTGGCTGTAGGAACTGGTGGCTGGCGGCCATTCCTACAGACAGTTCTCTGTGAGGGTGAAGGCAATGGCCCTGCGGTCATGTCAGCCCGGGGAGTGACTTCACACGTGGCTGCCCTCCCTCAGCCCCATCGGAGCTTGGGGATGGCGGGTGGGGAATGTGACACGATCAGGGTCCACCCACCGAGCTCAGCCACCACCTCCTCCCTGGTCACCGTGGGCTGTTCCAGAAGCTCGCCAATCTTCTTCAGCCGGCTGGAGTATGGGCGCTCCTCCATGCCTAGCCTGCAAGTGCAGGGACCAGGTGGGCAGCAGGAAGGGGCTGCGGGTGAGGGCGAGGTGGGGATGGATGGGCTGTCCTGGTGAGGGAAGGTATGGGAGGGGCTGGGTGGGCTTCTCTGGGGCCCTTGAAACACACAACTAAGGCAAAGGAGCATCCTCCCTCCCAAGAATTGGCCCCTGGGGCATCTCCCGCCCAGGCAGGCATGGGCCGGCCGCACCCAGCGTCCTCACTCCCTGGCATCTGAGAGGGCCTGCACATCACTCTCCAGCTCTTCCATGCGGCCCAGGAGCTGCTCCAGAAAGTGCTCGCCAGACAATTCGCCCTGTAGTGCCAGGTGCACGGCCAGGGCCTGCAGGATGGCCCCATTGTAGCCCAGGGAGGAGGCATGGGTCAGCTGGGCCGAGAGGCGGGCAAACTAGGGAAAACAGGGCAGAGACCCACTGTCACAGACCAAACTCAAAGCTCACTGCTATCAAGTCGATGCCAACTCATAGCTACCTTATAGGACAGAACTGCCCCTGCGAGTTTCCGAGACTCTAACTGTCCTTCCTTTGTCCGACGGGGCAGCTAGTGGTTTCGAACTGCCGCGGATTGCAGCTTAGCACGTAACCACTATGCACAGACCAAAGGCACAGAAAAGGTGGGGAGATGAGAAAGGTGGGCGCAGCCCTGATTACCTTCTGCACATCTTGGGCATTGCTGTAGGCCAAGGCGATGCCGGCTACCCGCATGGCACCTCCGTTGCCATAGGAGCCCTTCCCGTTAAACTGGGCCCGGGCAGGCTCATAGACATCTCGGCACTGAGGGCTCAGGAGCTTCTTGAAGACGGTGACCACGCCAGCCCCGTAACCCCTATCGGGTTCCTTCTTGTACTCCTGCGCAAACCTGGGGGAAGCAGGGGCCACAGGACTGGGGTGACTGGCTGCCTCCCAGGCCTGGAAGTGAGATATGGGAACAGAGGGTCCCTGGGGTGCTGGCCCATCTGGTTTAGGAAGCCCCCGCCCTCGAAATAGGATGGGAACACATCACCGATGTTCCAGTCAAGCGGAGGAGGGACCCTGCCCACCTGACCCCGGGGATCACCTCACCTCTGTGCCATGTCCACCTCGTCGAAGGCCTCTTTGGCTAGCAGGGACTGCACCAGGGCCCTGGCCATGGCAGTGTCATCTGTGTAGTACAGCGTTTCTGTGGGATGTGAGACGGGGTAAGAGAGTGAGTTGCAGGCGGGGTGGGGGGTGGGGGAGTGGGGTGTCATCGTAAGGGCTTGGGAGCCCGTTCCCTAGTTCATGAACAGACATGTGACCTCAGTGAGACCAACGAGGTGCAACATGGGGATTTTATTAGGACCAAAAAACCCCAAACTCACTGCCATCTGACTCACGGCGAACCCCTGTGGGTTTCTGAGACTGTAACTGTTTATGGGAGTAGAAAGCCCAGTCTTTCTCCCGGGAAGCTGCTGGTCATTTCAAAGTGCTGACTGAGGATCGCCACCCAATTCATAACCACTGCACCTCCCACCACCGGGCTCCCCCTGGCAGTTAGCAGTAAGGTGGAGGGAAAGTCTTCCTCTCAGCAGAGGAAGGCGTTGCTGGCTGGGAGCTGCCCGGAACCAGCCCATGGGAGGGTCCTATGGAGAGTGACTGAAGCCGATCCAGAAGGAGCCGGGCAGCGGGGAGGAGCCAAGTCTTGAGGATGCTCTGAACACACCCAGATTCAGCGCCGGCTGAATGGTACAAACAGGACCTCTTCTCAGAGGCACCGTGGAAAAAGGCCTGGAGATCTGGTGGAAAATCAGCCACTGAAAGCCCCGTGGAGCACAGTCTGTTCTGAGACACGTGAAGTCATCGTGAGTCAGAGGTCCTTGCCAGTGACCCCTGCCCAGACATTCTCCCTCCTGCTTGGGTCATTTCAGCTGGGGTCTCTGTCACTTGTATCCAATGATTCCCCAGACACATTTCAACCTGAAAACATGCTGCTTTCTGGGCTGAGCATCAAATCTAAAATCAAATTATAAACTGTCCTTCTAGCCACTATGGCTCATCTCCTTCCCTTCAGACCAATATACATATGTTAGATTTCCTCATTTTCCCCTCAACCCACCAGAATCGGAAAATGACTTTTTTCAGTCTAGACGTCCCTCCTCCTCATTTCTCTGCCGAATGCCACCGGTGGCTAGTGTCATATTGAGATTCTTCTCTCAGGTTTTGTTGACACCCACGGCTGATCCTTCTCCTCTCTCAAATGCTTTCACCGAGTCCACCTCCCTCAAACGTCAGGGTCTCCAGGGCTCTGACTGGCCCCTTTTATCCTTCCACCTGACCTGTTCTCCCACCAGAATCACCTGGCAGGATGCCTGCTCTCAGTGCGCTGAGGAGATGACTACACAGGGAGAAGGGGTGGGCGGAGGGGCAGAACAAGCAAAGGGAGGGGGGCTGCGGCTGGGGAGGGGGAGAAGTCGGCTGTGACAAGGACCGAGCAGCAGAGAGCCAGCCCAAAGGAGGGTCGGATGAAACTGCAGACAGGTAAGGGCCCAGTAAGGCCCCTTAAGAAAGCTGGCTCCCGTCAATGGGAAATCCTTGGGATTGTATGCCAACTCAAGCAAACGGTCAGCCTTCTGTTTTGTAACGAGCATTCTCTGCCGGGTGCAGAATGGACCAGTCGGGTGTGAGCGTGTGGAGGCCGGAGGTGAAAACCGGATAACGTGGACGCTGGACCAAGCCCAGGTTTCTGGTTTGCGCAATGGGGAAGGTGGGGTTGCCCTTTCGGGCGCGGGGGCAGGTTTCTGGGCGAGGCGGGTCATGGTCCGCTTGGATGTGGCCTGGTGGCGTGCACAGGGCCGGCGGGTCACCCGGATCCGCCCACGTTGCCCTGGTCAGCGCATCTCGCTCGCAACCCGGCCTCCCGGTCCCAGGCTCTCGCGACCCGAGTCCGCCTCCTTCTCGGAGCTCCTCGGCCTCCCTCCAGCGCCCGGCCCGCCCCGTCGGGCCCCCGCGCCGAGCCCCGCCCACCTGTCCGCGCGCTGCCCGGCTTGCCGGGGTCCGGCTCCAGGCTCTGCACGTGACGCAGGACTGACGTCAGGCTGACGGTGTCGTGCGCCTCGTAGAAGGCGCCCACGCAGTCCCCGAGCAGCGCCCCAGCCAGGCAGCCTCGGAAGCGGGAGAGAGAGCGGGCCGCCCCTGCCCCGGCGCAGCCCGCCGCCGTCATCGCTACCACCGTGGCCGCCATCCACGCGCGGGCCAGCCCCCCACTTCCGGTGCCGTCGGCGCCCTCCCCCGCTCTCATCTGCGCCCTGCAGCGCCTCCCCGTGGCCTGGAGCCTCGGTGCGCTACCGGGCCACAGCGCCGCCCAGCGGCCCGGAGGCGCGGGTGTTGACGGGGGTTGGGTTCGCAGTCAGCCTCAACAGCCCTGGAAGTTTCTTTTGGGCCCAGGTTTCTGCTTTTGGCCTCCATCCTGGCCGCCGGTAACCCTCTCCCGAAGGGGTGGGCACATATGACCACCTGGCTTTCCGAAGCCTCACCATGTGGCCTGAGCATCCCGACTCCCTGCCTGACGCTGTCCTGTCCCAGGGCACCCCAACTCCCTTGACCCCTACGCAGGACTTACTCCACAGCCAAGCTCTCCCTTTGGGACCCTAACCCCTACTGTGGGCATTAAGGGGCCCGCAAGGGGCTGGCTGGGGCAGAGCTGGGAAGGGACTTGAGGAGAGGGGAGAGCTGGATTTGGAATATGGGGTTTGGGAGAACGATGTTCCCCCTCTTTGCCCCAGCAGGCTCCCTCTCACTCCCAGCTGGCCCCATGCTTTGGTAGCAGTCTGACAGTACATCGGCATTTATTAGTTTAAATTGATTAGTTCAATCCCCTTTGTCCGTCATTGCCTGCCCACCCACCCCTCTCCCACCAGCCCCTCAAAGCTAGGCCAGCTCCAGCTGGCGACATTTGATCGGACTCAGGGTACGGTTGGTGGTACGCGTGAAAGTGTCCACCTCGGGCACAAACTTCTCAGCGGGCACCATCAGCTTCCGGCGGGTGTCCAAGCACTTGGTGTCCAACAGCATGGAGTTGGTCTTGCAGGCGATGTCGGCCTGCAGCCGGGCCAGGTGCTTGTAGAGGGCGTCTAGAGCATCCCTGTGGAGGAAACCAGTATAGCACACTCTGTAGGGGGCTGGTAAGTCTGGTCGGGGCCTGCCTGCTCCAGACAGGAGTCTACAGCGCCAAGGAAACTAGCAGGCCGTGGTTGGGAGTCGTCTCCTGCCCCCTGCCCATGCCTCAAACTTACTGTGCTTGCGCCAGCTTCTGCTTCAGGGCAGTGATGGTTGCCTCCAGCTGGTGGACCTCATCGGTGAGGCCATACTGTGCCTGGAGGCAGAGGGGCAGGTTGGCAGCTTAAGATTGACTCTTAAGGGTTTGTGGTGCAGGGTGGTTCTGAGGGAGCTCCAGCAAAGGGGTGGGGGTCCTGTGGGGCACTGAACACCCTCCCACCTGATCCCGGCAGAGTTCCACGTTGGGCCGGTAGGTTCTGGACTCGAGGCGGGTATGTGTTAGCTTCAAGTTCAGGAATTTTCTCCGAATATCCTCCTCTAGGTGCCTGATGTCCTCCTGCAGCTGGGCAATCTCTTCTAGGGTCTGCAGGGGACAGGGTGCCTGGTCTCCAGCTCCCCGGGCCACCAAGGCCCACCCTCCCATGGTGGGAAGTCCAGCCGCAGGAGACGCAATGGAGGCTCACATTCTTCTCTTGCCACTTGAGCTCGCTGTACACTTTCTCACTCTCCCGCAGCCGCTTCCTGAAGGCAAACTCGGACGCGACCCTCTGGGCTTCCAGTTCGTTGTTGGTCTGTAGGAAGCAGGCAGGGCAAAAAGACCCTATGAACTCCCTGTCACCTGGGCTACTGTTTAAGAGAAGGGTGGCCACCTGGCCGAGAGGGAATGAGGTATCGAGAGGGACTTGAGGGCACACGTTGGCCGCACTGTCACCTGTCTCCCGGTCACTTCCTGAGTCACCTGAGAGGCTGGGGCGGGCAGTCACCTCGGCGATAGTCAAGGCGATGGCCTCCCTCAGCATCATGGCCGCTCTCATCTCAGCCTCCGCCCGATTCTTGTTGAACTGACTGAAGGTGTCCCACTCCTGGAGTGTGGAGGAGCTGCCGGTGGGAGCGAAGGCCGCGGTCACAGGGCACAGCCCGGGAGGGGGTGGTGGGAGCAGCAGGAGGAAGAGAGGCTGACCGAGGCCCTGGTCTTACTCTTTGGGGATGCGTGTGGGGTTGACCTTCAGAGAGATGTTAGGGGAGTTGAGGTTGAGAGAGAGGCAGCCTCTGTCGATGTCCAGTGTCTCCATTTTGCCCCGATGGTCAGAGTTCAGCTGCTGTCGGACTTCTTGCAAGAGGCTGGGGACAGGATGGGGCAGCCGGAATGAGAAACCAGTCCTCACCACTGGGGCTTGGACCCTGTGGTATCGAAGGGGCACTGGGCGATGAACCCTCCCCTGCAGAAGACAAGGGAACTGCTGCCTCCTTGGGACAAAGTGCAGCATGCCCTGATGAGCTCCCCAGGACAAACGCATGGCGCACGTCGGAGGGGGCTTCAAAGCCTTTGCAGAAAAATGGAAGGGAAAGATCATGGCATTTCTCCACCAGCCTGTGGAAGCCCCCTAGCAGTGCGCCCACAAAGGGGCACACCAGGTGGTGCTCACTTCACCTCTGGGGCGCCTTCCAACCCTAGAGCAGGGCAGTGAGGGAAGGGCATGCGGAGACCTCATGCGGGCAGCAGTGGACACAGCGCTGTGACCAGTGGGGTGGGTCGAACGTGGGTGCGGGCAGAACAAAAGCGAGCAGGGCTCCCTAGTCAGAGGCACGTGGGAATTTAGAGGCCAGCCCCGCCCCTTACCAGAGCTGCTCGAAGGCCTGGCTGATCTTCCGCTGCAAAGCCTTCTTGGTGGCCTCAATGACCTCCACCTCTTTGTGCAGCTCATCCTCCACAGGGTCGGTCACCACATCGATGTCTCGCCGGCTGTCCCGCAGGGTCAGACACTCGATGGCCACGTCCAGGGGCAGGTTCTTCGCCTGCAGGTTTTGCTCGGCAGACTCTTTCATCTGGACAGTAGAAGGCACAGGGAGGCTGGGGGAGCCAAGCGTGGTGGGAGCTGGCCGAGACCTCCCTTGGACGCAGATGGGCACACCACTGATCACCCAAGGACCCCATCCATTAAGTTAGGGGAAGCACTCCAACAATGCCCCCCTGGCACCCAGCCCCACCCAGCTCCCTGCCTGCATCAGGGCATCGATCTCAGCGTCTAGGTCGGTTAGGGACTTGTCCAAGGTCTCCTTCCACCGGTTGACACTATCAATCCTCTCGGCCAGTCGAGTCCGATTGTCATGTTCGTCCCAAACGGTCTGCAAGAAACAGAGTCAGAGGAGGAAGGAGCCAGTTGGCGGGAACCACCCCTTGGCCCACCCAAGGAGGCTCCAGCCCGAACCTGGTTGTTGGTCTCATTGGAGAGGGTGCGGGCCTCCTGGCGGATCTGATGGGACGCCTCCCGCTGCCGCTCGGCATTGGTGGACAGCAGGTAGCTGTTGGTGTGCCAGTCGGGCAGCCGGAAGCGTTGACTCGGCTTGACACTAACTGTGGTCATGGTGCAGGCGGTAGGAGGTCAGAACCCCCTCGGCCGGTTCAAGACACCCGCTTTCTGCTGCGGAGGGAGAGAGCGTTGCGTTAGCATGCCAGACATCCCTTCTGAAGGAAGCGCTCTTGCTGTAAAACCACCTTCCCGCAGGAAGCTTCACGGGAGCAGCTCCTGCTTGGCTCAACTCCTGTCAGGTTTCCCTCTTTCTACCCACCACCCACAGACACAACCAGGGACCCTGCAGGTTTCAGGGTAGGTGAGAGGGGAACCCATATGGAGTCTCTCCTGGTAGGGGACTTCCCTTCAGGCTGGAGTGACAGGGAAAATGGCCCTTAGCCTAGTTTCTACCCATTCTTCCACAGGCCCGCTGGGCCAACCACAAGGTCAGCCATTCCCAACCACCAGCTGCTGCCAGGAGAGAGACCAGGCTCTCTCCTCCCGCCAAGATCCGCAGCCTCCCGAGCTCGCAGGCACCGTCTGGGCTCACAGGCAGTGAGTTGACCCCCCTTCCAGCAACCAAGTCTTGTTGGGCTGCCCACCCCGGGCCCAGCCCAGGGCAGGCCCTGTGGGGTCGGAAAAGAGAAGAGGCCTGTCCAGGGAGGCGTCAGACAGGTTAGGGGTTTTTTTGGACAGGAAGGTTGGGGGGGGTGCCACTGTCCCCCCGCCTCACCTGACCCCCCCACTGCCCATTCTCGGGGGGAGGAGGAGTTGGGGGTGGGAGGATTCCCCCCACCCCCAGTGGGAGGGTCCCAGCCGCCCCCTCCCCTTCCCCCATCGTCCTGGTCAGTTTTAAGCTTACCCAACACAGGCGCCGCCGAAGGTGAAGGGAGGGAGAGGGGGTCCTCAGCGGGGCCCCCGCCGCCCCCGCTCCTCGCCCGCTCACCTGTGTTCCCGGCGCCACTTGGCGTCGCTCCTCCGTTGCTAAGCACCTCCGTTGCTAGGCGACAGGCCCTCCGCAGTGGGGGCTGCGAGCTCCGGAGAGCTGGCTGCACCCCCCCCTCCCGCTGCACGCGCCCCCCCCCCAGTGGGGCCGGGACTGCCGCAGGGGAAGCCGCAGAGCTGCCGGCTGAGCTTATTTGAACATGAAACAGTTTTATTTTGGGACAAAGGAGGCCTCGACCTGCGTCTAGACGCGCGCACACCACGCCGCACAACGGAACAAAGGCTCTCCCGCTCGGGTCATGGCTTCCGCCTATGTGTTTCCTGTTACTGACATGTCTTCGATTATGTATCCCTGGAGTAGGAGAAGCTACGATCAAAATCAACCCATTTCTTTTTTTAAATCATTTTATTGGGGGCTCGTACAACTCGTCACAATCCATCCATTGTGTCAGGCACATTTGTACATTCGTTGCCCTTGTCATTCTCAAAGCATTTGTTTTCTACTTGAGCCCTTAATATCAGCTCCTCATTTCCCCTCCCCCCTACCCCCCTTCCTCGTGAACCCTTGATAATTTATAAATTATTATTATTTTGCCATATCTTACATTGTCCGACGTCTCCCTTCACCCACTTTTCCGTTGTCCGCCCTCCAGGGAGGAGGTCACAGGTATAGATCCTTGTCACCGCTTTCCCCCAAATCAACCCATTCCTTCAGGAAATAAAAACCGAACCGTGTCTGCCACCCCATGCTACTGTGGTCGGGACTGGAGAGACGTTAACTTGTTATAAGGACTCGGGGAGGCGGGCCCTGTCCTGGGGCCTGTCCAGGGGGGAACTGAGGCTGGGGGCCAGGGGGACTCGCCCCGGGGTCACATGACGACAGGTGGCAGTGCGTGGCTGTGGAGCCCTCGTTTTGTGGACGGCTGCGGTCCTCAGCAGGAGCCCTCCCTCCATTTCGATCCCAGTCTTGACTCAAGTTCAGCCGCCATTAGGTTTCTGGGGTGGTTTAACCTCGGTTCTTACTTCTCCACGCTGAAGGGATTCCCGCAAGCACTTTTGAAAATCCGAGTAACTTTTATGAGGGAAAGGGACGTTTCGGGTAGCACAGTCTCGGGTAGGACACCCGTCTCTGGACAGCGTGCAAGGCCGCATGGTGGGGGTCATGGGAATAGCTGCTGAGAGGAGTCCACAGAACCAGCAAAGAGGAGAGAGTGCCCGCTCTGAGAGGGCGCCCATGGGAGAGAGCCCACGCTCTGTCCAGAGTGACCTGAGAGACAGCCCTGCCCCCAGCCTGTGCTATTGATCCCCTCCGAGCCCCTCTTGCGGGTGTGATGGGGGTGCTTGAGAGTACTGGCCCCTCGTAGTGGCTAAGTTTAAGAGCACCTGTGATGTGATGCCCTGGTGCCTGGGGTGTGTGTGCCCAGAATGACTTTCACTTGTGTCTAGCCTTGGTCTGAGCACGTACAGCTTTGAAGGGTCCCCATAGGTGTCTAATGTGTACCTGATTACTTTCTTTCTTTTTTTTTTCTGATTTCTTCCAAACCTCTTTATTATGGCCTCAGGGTCAGCATAAGCCTTCCGGTTTATTGTAGCCCTTCGGTGAAGACAACCCCTTTTATCCCTAATCTTCCTGCCTATCCGCTCCATTATAGTTCTTTCTGACCATTAACCAGGAAAAGGTGGTTTTTCCCTCAGGCTGGCCAGGAGGTATTGGGGAATTTGCTTGGGCATGTTCTTAATGATTTACCAAAATTAAGCCCAAACTCACTGCCACGGAATTAATTCCTACTCAGAGCCACCAAATAGGTTTGCGGGATTATCAATAAATCTTTGAGAGAGCAAACAGCCTCATCTTCTCCAGAGGAGCAGTTGGTGGGTTTGAACCACTGACCTTGCTGTTAGTAGCCCAATGTTTAATTTTTATATAAAAAAAATAGCTGCATGATAATCGAGTTTAAAATGTAGGTCCTTGAGACTGTGAGTTAAAGCCACATGGCCATGAGGCAAACCCTGACCACCAGGGGGCCAGGTGCTGGAGCTTCAGAGGGAATTTCATTCGCTTTAAGAGATCTGCAATTGTGTACATATGTCAATCACAGCCCTTTCCTTTCTTCTGTTCTCATAGCCCTGCTGTGACAGTGAGGATAAATTGTAGTGCCTCCAGACGTGGGTTTGTGATGAATTCTGTTCTCTCCCCTCATACTTCATTAGCCACATGGCTGGGAATCAGCAGACTCATTTCTGCTCCTCGTCTGTGGACGTCTTGGTTTCCCTCATTCTGGAATGATGGTTTTTGTTTGTCTCTGTCCTGTGTAAGTCTCTATAAAATATGTTCGAGTTTTGGGGCTTTTCTACCTGAGAACAATCCAGACCCAGGCGGTCTGGCCCCAGAGACTAAACTCAGGTTTGATGGGTGAGAGGAACAGAGTGCCTCGTTTTAAAACCCCAGGGTTTGGTGAGATGGCGTTATCGCTAACAGAGGCGGGAAAGGAATGCTTGATGGGAGAGGATGAAATTGGCTTTTGTGATGTTTGAAGTACTTGTGGTAGATCCCTCCGCTGTCCAGACAACAGAGATGCTAGCCTGGAGCTCAGCCGAAAGACAGAAGCTAGAACAGTACGTCCTTGATCTTAGAACACGTTCTTCCCATGGAATCTTTTTTTATAAAATCTAAATAGGGTTTAGTCCCTAGGTGGTGCAAACAGTTAAGTGCTTGGCAACTGACCAAACGGTTGGTTGGCCGTTGAACTCTCTCCAGAGACCCCTCAGGAGAAGGTGCAGAGAGAGACTTGTGAGAAGCCAGCCAGTGGACACCCGGGGAGCACAGCTCCATTCTGACACCACGGGGGTCACCATGAGTCAGAATCAACTCCAAGGCAACCGGTGTGGTTGGCTGTTGTGAAAGCCTCTGGCTCACACAGCAGACAGACTTAACCAAGAACGCGGTGTGCAGCTGCTCAGAGCAGGCTTACCAGGGCTCAAGAAGACAGATAAAGAGTCTTGGCTTGATTAACTGCTGTAAGAAATGATCGCCTTTTGGCTTATATGCTGTCTTGAGAAACTGTAACAGAAGGCCGTGGGCAAGTATGGCAGCACCGTGTTGGCTTGGGCGCATCCCACTGGCAGTGTGGGCGGCCCTGCTGCTGCTGCTGGTGGCTCCCGGGTCGCCGTCAAACCCTGCCCTTAGGAAGAAGGTGTTAGCCGGGAAGGTCAGCCAGCTGATGGACTGGACGCAGGCAAGCGGGGGCGTGATCCCGATGAACGACACCGCGTTCTATCATTTTGTCCTCCAGCCGCCCAGGAACTATTCCGTGATCGTGCTGTTCACGGCGCTGCGCGAGGCTCGGCGGTGCGACGCCTGCCAACGCGCCGCCAACGAATTTCAGATCCTGGCCTCCTCCCCGTGCTACTCCGAGGCCTTCAGCAAGAAGGTCTTCTTCGCTATGGTAGATTACGACGCGAACCCGGGGGCCTTTCAAATGGTCCGCTTGGTGTCGGTCCCCAATTTCCTCCACTTTGCCGCTAAAAGGGCATTTGCCACAGAGGATAGTTACAATTCAGAAGTCAGGGATTTCACCGCCAGGCAAATAGCCGCGTGGATCGCCCAGAGAACCCAGGTGCGCCCCAGGCTCAGGTGCGCCCCAGAGTCCGTCTCGGAGCTGCATCTCTGCGGCCTGGGGGCCGTGGGCGCCGTGGGCGCCGGGCTGCTGTGCTTGGTGCGGAGAACCAGGGCGCTCGTTTCTAACAAAACCTTGTGGGCCGTCTTGGCGCTGTCTTTTGCGACGGTGATGACGTCTGGTCAAATGTGGGTTCAGATCAGAGGAGCGCCCTTTTCTCAAAGGAATCCTTGCACGGGGCAGGTGCACTACATCGACCCGCAGAACCACGTCCAGTTCGCGGCTGAGACGTACCTGGTGGCCCTGTGTCAAGTGTGCATTTCCCTGGGCGTGGTGTTCTTGGACGCAGCGGCCACCTCCAGGAGGCCCATCGTCAAGAGAAAGATGATGTATCTGATCGGCGTGGGCCTCGTGGCGACGGTGGTCAGTTGGCTCCTCTCCCTCTTCAGACGGAAAGTCCCTGGGTATCCGTACAGACTCCTGACGGATTAGAGCCTGCGGCCAGAGCCACGGCCCAAGGCAGGACGCCTGGAAGGAGAAAATCCCACAAGCAAAGTCTATTGAAACAGACAAATGAGAGCTCTTAACTTTTTTAAGTGAACGAGATTTAATCAGCATGATGGGCCCTGATCGGAGGCATCTTCTCAAAATGGGCGCCGTATCCTTTCCTCGTCTCCCATGTTTCTTCCCAGTAAATGTTGTCGATTAACCTCACCGGTGAATTCTAGCGATTACATCCTTGGCGGTTCGTTTTTATTGCGCACTCTCGAGCCTGGTTCCAATGGCGGGGGCAAGTCTCGGGCACTCAGTGCAGCGCCTAGCGAGTGTCTCCACTGCAGCCCACCACCCTGCCGCTCCACTGACTTGCAGCAAGCAGCCAGACAGCACAGGATGACAATTTGTCCATGATTAGTCACTACCTACCTTTTCTCGGGAAAGATGGCACATAGGTTCCCTTGCGTGGTATTCTTGCAATTCAGGTGACCAATGTCTACAAAAACCACGGTTTCCTATTTCTATGTTGACTTGAGGTTGTTTGCCCTTTGGGGCACTGTGAAGGTTGGCGGTTCAAACTCACCGGCGGGCTGCAGCCTCAGAAACCCCACCATGGGTCACTGAGTCGGGAACGCCTCGATGGCATTAGGGTCAGAGCAAAAACATGATTTACTTATTCAAATGTCTGCACCATCCACTAGTATTAAAGATGACAAGAAAGTAAGTTTAAAAATAATATGTACGCATATATATTTTTGAGATTTTGGTAAATTAGGTTTCTGTTTGACAGTTTTCACGTAACTTGTTAGATTAGATTAGTTACATTTATTGCAATCTGCCAACATTCTCTCCTTTGTATTATTTTACTATGGGCTGAGTGAAGGTTTTACAGAGCAGAGCAGTTTTCCACTCAACAGTTCAGACACCTTTGTTTCATCTCGTTGATTAGTCCATGCGATAGTTAAGGTTGATTGTGCCAACCTGGCCGATGAACACATGTGGGATTAATTGAAGGGCGGAGATAAATGGCTCACTGAACCTCGTCTTTCTGGTCTCTTGCTCTCTGATGGTCAGCCCAGGGTGCAGCTGCCTTAGCCAGTTCCCTGCTTCAGCTGGCAAGGCTCACTTCCTGCAAGATATCCCTGAGGAGAAGCCACATGGGCCTACCCCGATGCAGCCCTGGGTGCTGGAGAAGTCTCGTGGAGACCCCTGCCAACGCTGAGATGCTTACATGCTCACTGATTCGGCTTTCCTCCTGCATTCGGTGTCATTGCGTGCGTTTTGTGAGTTTGAGGAGGACTTTGTAGATTGGTGTTGGACATATGCGCTAATATTGGACTTACGGGCTTGGACTGGACTGGGTTGGGATGCTTTCTTAATGTACAATTACCCTTTATATAAAACGCTCTCATAAAATATGAGTGTCTATGAATTTTGTTTCTCTAGTCCACCTAGATTAACAGCCCACAAGGTCATCCAATCCCTGCCACATAATATCACTTATCCCATGTTCTCCCTATGTTCCCGAGTTTCCAATTCTCCTTCTTTCCTAACTTTCTGAGCTTTGTCCATGTGTGAATGCTGCCCTTTTAATAGTCTAAGAAGCCCTGGTGGCACCATTGGGTAAGTATTAGACTGCTAACCACCAGGTCAGAGGTTCAAATTCACCAGCTGCTCCTCGGGAGAAAGAAGAGGCTGTCTGTTCCTGTAGAAGGTTACAGTCTTGGAAACCCTACAGAGGGTCACTATGAGTCGGCATTGACTCGACGGCAGTGGGTCTGGTTGTGTTTAAGGAGTGTGTACCACTCTAAAATGATTGTTCCCATTATAGTCTTATCTATTGTTGTTTGGCTATACATTGAGCCGGTGTGTGTGGGGTGTGTGTGTTCAGCTCCAGATTTGAAGGGTAACTAAGAGTCATAGCCTTAGAGGTTTCACCAGTCTCTATCTGACCTGTAGGTCTGTTTCATTTTTAATTTTCTTAGCTATATAGAAACAGTTTATTTTCAATATATAATTTATACCTCTAATGGCCAATGAATCCTAGAGTTTAAGAATGGAAGGAATTCAAAGGTAGCACTCCACGCCTCAGAGATGCATTGGGAGGAGGCTGGGGCCAAGAGAATGACCCGTCCAGGTTCAAAGAGCCACCGAGAGTCAAGCAAGGACGAGAAGTCCAGACTTCCTGAGTCCCCAGTGTACGCCGAGAGTTCAAGAAGGTGAGATCCAGCTTTGACTTTGAGGGAGGCAGTGTCAGGGGAGAGGCTTTGGTCATCTTGGGAAGCCAGAGTACTGGAGGACCATGACACTGTTGAAGAGAAGGCCAAGGCACATGACCCAAGCACGGTCTTCTCCATGTATTTGAGTTTTGTTCCACATTTTCCTCCCACTCTCTCCAGGACTCTCTAAGGTGATCCTTTTCATAGCAGTTGTTTGTGGTAGCCGGACATCATTTTGTTCTGGTCTTAGGGTTGTGGAGCCTGATGCTTACATCGTCTATTTTTTCTCTAATACTTTTATTGGGGGCTCTTACATCTCTTATCACAATCCATACATTCCTCCAATGTGTCAAGCACATTTGCACATATGCCGCCATCATAATTTTCAAAGCATTCTCGTTCCCAATTGAGCCCCTGATATCAACTCCCCATTTCTTCCCCCTCCCTCACGAACCCTTAATAAGTTATAGATTATTATTTTCATATCTTATATCATCCTCGTCACCCCTTACCCACTTTTCTGTTATTCGTCCCCCTGGGAGGGGGTTATATGTTGATCCTTGTGATCAATTCCCCTTTTCTCCCCCCACCTTCCCCTTAACCTCCTGGTATCTCTGCTCTCATTTTTGGCCCTGAGGGGTTTATCTATCCTGGATTCCCTATATTGCTGGCTCTTATCTGTAGCAGTGTACATGCTCTGGACTAATCTGATTTGTAAGGTAGAATTGAGGTCATGATAGTGGGGTGCAGGAAGCACCAAAGAGCTAGAGGAAAGTTGTGTGTTTCATCGGTGCTATACTGCACCCTGACTGGCTCATCTCTGCCCTGTGACCCCTCTGTGAGGGGATGTCCAATTGTCTCCAGATGGGCATTGGGTCTCCACTTCATACCCACTCCACCCCTCCATTCACATTGGGTATGATTTTGTTCTGGGTCTTAGATGCCTGATACCTGATCCCGTCAACACCTCATGATCACACAGGCTGGTGTGCTTCTTCCATATGGGCTT